TCCCCCCTCCCACCCCCCAGCAGCTCCTAGTTCTGATGAAGCACTTAACGAGGAGAGAAATTAATTAAGGCGCGAGGCTGGGCTCACATCGCACGGCCCATAGGTGGGCACAGGTTGCCACCCCACCTTTCCTCCTCCCTGCAGGTCTGGGGTGGGGGGGGGGGGGGGGGGTTTCTTTCAGCCCATCACGTGGTCAGACACGTGTGGTGTGTTAATTAAACGTGGTCTCTAACGAAGGCGCTGCGCAGAGGGGTGGCATGGAGGCCCTTGGGGTGAGCTGCTGCTGCTTTGTGGATTTCTGCCTTCAGAACGTGGCTGGGAGGTTTGGGGGTGGGTGGGTTTTCCCCCTCAGCTGTGAGCACCGCTGCCATCTTTTGGGGTTCTGCCATCTTTTGGGGTTGTGAATAAAAGAAACCTGGAGATAAAAGCCAGCTCTGCTCCGTGCGGCGCCTGCAGCGAAGGAGGAACGTGGAGCTTTAACCACGCTTAACCTCCATGCCTACGGAGCCCCGCAGGAACGGCAGCTGTAACGAAGCCGGCAGAGCAGCGCTGCTGTTTGCTTTGGCCTTGCACCCAAACTTTGTGACCCCGTGACCCGGATCTCTGCTTTTGGGGCGCCGGGAGCTGCGGCGCTGAGCGGATGCGGTGCTGAGCTGCTGGGGTCCCTTTGCAGCGCTGTGCCCCCACCCCAGCTGCACTGAACCCCCTTCTGCAGGCAGACGTGGGGCTGAGGAGCAAAGGGTTCGTTGTGCTGGGGTGGCTGCAAGCAGGGCTGCTTCATGCGTGCAGCTGGGCACAGCAGCACACGTGTGTGCATCGCGTGGTGGAGCAGAGCAGCACTGTAACCAGGAGGTGCTCCTGTAGTGCACTGAGTGTGCAAGGGGCAGCAGGACGTGGCACCGTCCCCACTGAGGAAACACGCAGGGCTCTGCGTCGCTTTGGGTGCAGCAGAGCTGATTTTCCCTGTGGGTTTGGGGCTGTGTGGGGCTGGGGGTGCAGAGAGCACTGATGCAAGGGAGCAGCAGTGGTGCTCACGGTGATGGCTGCAGGGCTGTGATGGCCCTGCTTGGTGCTGGCACTTCGGAGCTGGTGAGGGGTGGCTCAGGGTGGGGTGCTGTCAGTGCTGGGTGCTGCAGGGGGACATGTGGGTGCCATGGGGTTAAGGTGCACAGCGGGGCTGGAAAAAGCAAGTGGTGCCACGGGGCAGCAGAGTGCCTGCATGGGGATGGGAGGTTTGGGTTTGCAGGCCTTGAGAGCTGCACCCATGGGTGCTCGGGGCTGCGGGACAGGCTCTCGTCTCGTGGGGTCACGCAGTGCTTCATCCAAAATGAATCAGAAGTCCGAGGCAGCACTTCCCTATTTCCTGGGGGTAAGTGCAGCCCTGCAGCCCCATGCGCCTGCTGTTCCCTGTGAGAGCAGCGCAGAGCAGCGTGGGGCCGCTGTGTCCAGCAGTGCCCTGCAGCTCCACAGCGCTGGGGGAAGTAGGGCAGGGTGCTGGCTTAAAATAGCCCTGAGCAGCGAGCTGGAGAAGCTATTTAGGTAAATCCCGGGGTCCCTGTGGGGGCAGAGCTGCCCGCTAATCTAAAGATATTCCCTGGGGATCTGAATTGGGATCCTTCCACGCTCCAGGTGTTCCCCGTTGGGGCTGCAGGCGCTGCGTGGCGCTGGGTGCTGTTAGGCAGCAGGAAGGAGGGAGCGGCGCGCAGCCTGCGGTTGGGGCTCTGCCCTGCTAATGAGCAATTAGCAGAGCCCTGTCGGCTCGCTGTGCCGTGGGAGCAGGTGGTGGAGCTCAGGGTTCCCCCCACCCCTTTGTGAGCTTGCTTTTGTGCGAGGCTGCAGCTCGTGGGGCTGGGCAGGGTTGGCCCTATGGAGTCCAGCTGTCCCGCCATGCAGTGCTTTGTGTGCTGCTCAGACCCCCAGTGCTGGCATCCACTCCTGCAGTGTGCTCTGCATCCAGCAAGGGGGCCGTGAGCTCCTGCAATTAGCGCAATTAGTGCAATTAGCGGCACTGAAGGCGCTGGCAGTGAGCACCCGTAAGCAGTGCAGGAGGTGCCCTCCTGCTCCCAGCAATGGCGTGGGCAGCTCCACGTGGTCCCTCTGCCCCCAGCTCTGTTCCTCCTGAGCCCTGGAGCTGCCCTGCCCGGCATCCAGGTGCGGTGATGGGGCTGTGGGTACCATCCATCATAACCTGAGGGCTGGGGCTGCCCAGAGCACCAAAAAGGGCCTTTTTGCCCCCAAACCCACCCGCAGGCAGCTTTGGCTTTGCCTCTATGTGGGTGCGCGGGGTGCGTGAGCTCAGCGCTGTGCAGCATGCTGGCATCGTGCTCTGCGAGTGCTGTGCAGGGTGAGCACCTTCCAGCAGCCACCCCAGCCCTCGGAGCTCCTTTTTCAGTCATGAATGCAGCCGTGCTGCTCGGTGCAGGCATCCCAGCGGCCGTGCCATGCGTAAACAAGCCGTGCTCCCCATGCAGGGGTTCACACAGCACTGGGAGCAGCTCCTGCAGCAGTGAACCCAACTCGCGTGGGTGCTGCATGGGGGCCTGTTTGCAGCAGAGCTGTGCTGTCCCCTTCCTCGCCCTGTGCTCCTTTGGGCACAGCTGACCCTTTAATCCGTCGCATGGCTCCGGAGCAGCAGCTGGCAGGTTGGTTTGGTGCAAAGTGCTGTGGCTGCTGTGCAGGTGGGAGCAGAGGGGCCCTCGTGGGGCTGCAGGGCTGCATTTGGGCCCTTTGGCATCCCTGCGGGGAGCTCTGCTGCAGCACAGCTGCCTGCGTTGCCCCCCTGAGGAGGTGGGCACCTTGCAGAGGAGCACACAGCAGGCATCTGTGTCAGCTCCTTGTGCCCTGCAGCCTAAAGCCCTTAGCACGAGTTCTGGCTAACGGGATTACTCACATTGACAGCACTAATGACAGCGCTAATGACTTAAGCTGTGCCCTCAGCCCTGGGGGGGTGGGCACTGGGGACTGGAGGGGCACTGGGGCTGGGTGCTGCTCAGACCGGGGGGCTCCCTGCTCTGCCCTGGTGCTGCTCTCTGGCTTCCTTTGGTGCTCCCACCAGCACTGTGTGCTGCAGCACTCAGGGGCCGTGTTCCCCCCCCCATTCTTTCCCTGTCCCACTGCTGCACGGACCCCAGTGTGCACAGACCCCAGTGTGCAGTGAGGGCTGCAGCTCTCGTGCTGGGCTCTGTGGGTGGAAAGCTGCTCTGTGGCACTCAGAGGGGGTGGGCTGCATGGTGACCTCGTTGGGCTCCAGGCTGCCTTCACCAGGGGTGGAACAGCTTTGGTGCAGTGCCTCCCCTGGCTGAGCACGGAGCGGGGATGCAGCAGGAGCTCACAGTTCCCACTCCCCGTGGCTGTGGGTGTGCTGGGGGTCCCTGGACCATCCGGCTGTGATCTCAGCCCACTGCCCAGCACCGGTGCTGCTGGGGCTGCTCAGCCTTCTCCCATCCCTGAGGCAGTGATGAGCACAGATGGAGCTCCCATCTAACACAGCCTTCTGTTCCCTGCGCTTCCGTTCTGCTCCGGCTCCTGGCCCTGCACGCAGTGCATCGCGGTGCAGCCCTGCTGACACACACACTTTTCCCCCCCCAGCCGTGCCGTTCCCCCCCACGCAGCGGCTGACGCTGAAGGAGGTGTTTGAGGATGGCAAACCACGCCTGGACGTCCTCAAGAGCCACCTGGTGAAGGAGGGCCGCCTGGAGGAGGATGCAGCCCTGAAGATCATCAACGACGGCGCGGCCATCCTGCGGCACGAGAAGACCATGATTGAGGTGGAGGCTCCCATCACAGGTCAGAGCCCAGCGGAGCCGCGGGGGTCCTGCACGCAGGGGGCTCCCCTGAGCTGCTGGGGGCGCGTCGTGTCCATCCCTGCTGGGCTCGGGGTGCATCTCTGCACGGCCGCTCTCTGAGCGCTGACTCCGTCCTTCTTTTGTGCTCTTCTTCCTGCCCAGTGTGCGGGGACATCCACGGGCAGTTCTTTGACCTGATGAAGCTGTTTGAGGTGGGAGGATCACCCAACAACACCCGCTACCTCTTCCTGGGAGACTACGTGGACAGGGGCTACTTCAGTATAGAGGTGAGCCGTGAGGCTGAGCCTGGAGCTGGCAGACGTGGCACGCGTCGTGTCCCCCAGGTTGCATTCCATGCAGACCCCCTGAGGCTGCATTTTGCACTGATGTCCCTCAGGTTGCATTCCATGCAGACCCCCCGAGGCTGCATTTTGCACTGATGTCCCTCAGGTTGCATTCCATGCAGATTCCCTTCAGCTGCGTTTTGCACTGATGTCCCTCAGGTTGCATTCCATGCAGATTCCCTTCAGCTGCATTTTGCACTGATGTCCCTCAGGTTGCATTCCATGCAGACCCTCTGAGGCTGCATTTTGCACTGACCTCCTGTATGTTGCATGTCATGCAGACCCCCCTCAGGCTGCTGTCATGCTGACCTCCCCTAGGTTGCATTTAATGCAGACCTCCCTTAAGCTGCATCTCACACAGAACCCCCTTAGGCTGCATTTTACACTGACCTCCCTTAGGTTACATTCCACGCAGACCCCCTCCTCCAGCTGCATTTTGCACTGCCCCCCCTCAGGCTGCGTTTGGCCCTGTAACCCACTTTTGCAGCTCACGCCAAGGCCAGGTCCTTGCAGCGTGCTTTTGAGGTGCTGCCCAGGTGGGACCTGCAGCTGAACGTTGGGCTGTGCAGCAGCGCAGGGCTGGCAGCTCTCATCTCTGCAAGCAGAGGGAGAGGTGTTGTGTATCAGCGTGGGGCAGTGGGAAGCGTGGGGCTGGGGGCTTCCCTGCAAAGCAGCCGTGCGTCGCGTGGCTTCCAGCTGCGTTTGCGCTCCTGCAGGAGGGATCTGTGCCATCCCAGGAGCTGCAGCACGGTGCCCTGTGGGGCGCTGAGTTCAGGTGTGCAGTGAGCAGGAATGCAGTCTGTGCACCACCAGAATGCAGCAGTGGTGCTGCGCACCTTTGCCAGATCGCTTTTTCAAATCCAATTACGACGGGACGCACGAGCGCCGGCTAATTAAGAATTGCACGTCCCGTAATTTAGCCAGGCTTCAACTCACTGCCTTCTGTGTGGTGATTAAAGCTGAAACGGGGACCTCAGCAGCACGGTGCGGAGCTGCAGGTCGGAGCTTCGCACCACGGCGTTGTTCTGGGTGCTCCTGTGAGCATCCCTCCGTTACCCAATGCAGCGAGGCGGCGCTTTTGCTGGCTGCACACACAGCTGGAGCTGCCTGCTGCTGTGCCCGACCCCATTTGTGCTCATATTTAGGGCAGGAGTTGCTCTGTAGGGCTGCAGCTCTGAGATCTGCAGCTGCCTGTAGGGCTGGGCTGCAGTCAGGGCTCCTCTCTGGGTGTCCACCCAGCAGTTTGTGGTGCAGCCTGCAGCCTTGAGCCCCTGCGATGGGGTTTGATGATGTCGCCCCTCAGCCCTCCTTCCCTTTCCTGCAGTGCGTGCTGTATTTATGGAGCTTGAAGATAAACCATCCCAAAACGCTGTTCCTCCTGCGAGGGAACCACGAGTGCAGGCACCTGACAGAGTACTTCACCTTCAAACAGGAGTGTGAGTTGCAGCAGTGGGGTCTGTGGGGTGGGGGGTCTGTGGGGTGGGGGGTCTGTGGGGTGGGGGTCTGTGGGGTGGGGGTCTGTGGGGTGGGGGTAGGGTTCGAGTTAGATCAGAGCTGTGCTCTGTGCTCCTCGTTCTGTGCAGGTTGGGCTGCAGGAGTGGCTGTGAGCAGAAGCTCCAAGCGAGCTCTGCTTCCAGTGCCACCCAGGCTGACTCTGTGCCCCCCCAGGTCGGATCAAGTACTCGGAGCGGGTGTACGACGCCTGCATGGACACCTTTGACTGTCTTCCTCTCGCTGCCCTCCTCAACCAACAATTCCTGTGCGTCCACGGGGGGCTGTCTCCAGAAATCACCTGTCTAGACGACATTAGGAAAGTAAGTAGCGGGGTGCAGCCCTGGTTTGGGTGCAGGGAGGAGCACAGCGTTGCAGTTCGGTGCGCTTGGTGCTGGAGCTGCGTGAATCCCCGGCAGAGGTGGTGCACAGGGGTGGGCGCGAGGCTCCGAGCCCCGGCGCTGCCCTAAGGTGCTGTGCATCCTTCAGTTAGACAGGTTCAAGGAGCCCCCCGCCTTCGGGCCCATGTGTGACCTGCTGTGGTCCGACCCCTCCGAGGATTACGGCAACGAGAAGTCGGTGGAGCACTTCGCCCACAACACCGTTCGGGGCTGCTCCTATTTCTATAGGTGAGTGGGGGACGGAAGGACCTCAGGCTGGGGTTGGTCAGGACCCCTCAGATCACAACCCCAACCCACCCCTGTGTGCTGCAGCCCCACAGCTCTGGAACCCCGCAGGGATGGTGACCCCCCCCCATCTCTCTGAGATGCTTTTCCCCACATCCAACCTGAGCCCTGCTGTGCCAACTGGGGCCGTTCTTCCCATCCTGGATGGACCAGGATCATAATCATAGAATCACAGAATCACTAAGGTTGGAAAAGACCCCCAGGGTCACCCAGTCCAACCATTCACCCAGCACCAATGGTTCTCACTAAACCACGTCCCTCAACACAACATCCACACATTCCTTGAAGAGAAACCCAGAAGGTTTCCTCTTTCCTTGTGCCCAAGTATGTGGCTGGGTGGCAGAGCCGGGAGCTCAGGGAGGTCATCCATCCATGCTCTCTAAAAGTGAAGCAGTGCTGCCAGCAAACTGCTGAAGGGGACTTGGCACCAGGCTTGGTTCCACGGAACGCTTTGCAGTGCGTTTCTGTGTGCTGTGATCCGTGCCACCCTGGGCAGGTGGGCACCGCAGGGCTGCGACCCGCTCTGCTCTGCTCCGTGCTAACCCACGTGTGGTTTTGTTTTCCAGTTACCCTGCAGTTTGTGATTTTTTGCAGAACAACAGTTTGCTCTCTGTAATCCGCGCTCACGAAGCCCAGGACGCGGGGTAGGTGTGGGTGCACAGCATCGCCTCCGTGCTGCGCTGCCCCAGCACGGCACTGCTCAGCCCTCCCCTCTCCCTCAGGTACCGAATGTACAGGAAGAGCCAGACCACGGGCTTTCCCTCCTTAATCACCATCTTCTCCGCCCCAAATTACCTAGATGTCTATAACAACAAGGGTAAGGCTGGGGGGGTCGCACTGCTGGGGATCCCTGTTGGCTGCACGCGACGAGGAGCTGCGTGTGCTGAGCTGGCAGTGCTGTGCCTCACGCTGTGTGGCTGTCAGTGTCACGTTGCTGTCACGTTGCTGCCATGTTGGGAACGGTGCTGTGGTTGAGCTGGGTGCATTCATGGAAGGAGAAGCTGCTGATGTGGGTGGGCTGCATCATCCCGTGAGCTCCATGGGGAGTCGCCGCGTTGCCCCTCGCTGTGGGTCGTGGCTCTGTGCTCACCTCCGTGACTTCAGTGGTTCACCCAGCCTTGGTTACGATGAGCTTTTATGAAACAGCATTAATGGATGAGCTGATAAACCCCACAGCTCGTTCTGCTCATCCTAATGACGGGGGGGCTTCGTTAGCGCGGGTGCAGCCGTTGAGCGCACGGTGTGTCCTCGCTCTCTCCCAGCTGCTGTCCTCAAGTATGAGAACAACGTCATGAACATCAGGCAGTTCAACTGCTCCCCACACCCCTACTGGCTGCCCAACTTCATGGACGTCTTCACGTGGTCGCTGCCTTTTGTGGGGGAGAAGGGTAAGAGGAGCCAACCATCCTTTGGGAGCCCGTCCCAAGGGGCACGGGGGGATGTGGGAAGTGCCGTGGGGTTGGGGCTCCATGCAGGGTGGTGGTGCAGCTCGGTGGTTTTAGGGGCTCCATGCAGGGTGGTGGTGCAGCTCAGTGGTTTTAGGGGCTCCATGCGGGGTGGTGGTGCAGCTCTCATGCTGATAACTGCAGAAAGCTTTTCCCAGCCGGTCCCCCCTGCGCTGCTCAGTTCTGCTGGAGCTGCTGCGTGTTGCTGTGACCAATGCAGACCAACCCTCTGGAACCCCCCCCACGCACACAGTTCACCTGCAGCCCCCTGACCCCATCTGTGCTTCTTGCAGTCACCGAGATGCTCGTTAACATCCTCAACATCTGCTCTGACGACGAGCTGATTTCAGATGGCGATGAGACGCTGGAAGGTGAGAGCTGTGGGTCAGAGGCGGGGCTGTGGGGCAGAGTGCTGTGCAGCCATCCCACCCCTTTGTGTGCAGCCGGGGGTAGGACGCCTTTGTTTTTATTATTATTCTTTCCCCCCCTCCCACTTTGCAATCGAATCCCAATGGAGCTGAGTTCCACTCCGTGCTCCACGCGCTCCTCAGCGGCTGTGGGATCACCTCCCGTTCCTCACTGCCCGCATCCCCTGCTGTTATTCCCCCTCCCCAGATCAAAACCCCGCACAGCAGAGCCCCATCCCACCCCCATCCGCTGCAGCTCCACGCAGTGCTGTGCAGTTCTGGGTGCAGATGGGGTGGAACTGCTCTGCGCTCCGCCGCCGCATTGACCTCCGCCCTCTGCTCCCATTGCATTTCGTTTTGCTGTCGTGTTTTTGTGTTTTGGTTTTGTTTTCCTTTCTCCCTTCCCATGAGGATTAAATTTGTTTCTTCTATCTCTGTCTCCATCTCCCTGTTTCTTGGTGTCTCCTCTCCCTGAAGATCACTACATTTCAAGCTATCAGAAAGGTACCCAGCTAGAACTCGCTGCCAGCTTAATTCTCACTGCCTGTGCCACCAGATTCCTCGAGTGGACTTGCCGAGCTGACTGTTGTTGGGCAGTCTGTCCATCCCCTTTCAGTTTTAACACGAGCGCCGTGTGTTCTTAACCCTCCCGCGTTCCTCCAGGAACCCGAGGGCCGGGGCCACGTTTCTGACTTCTGAATGCAGCCACGTAGTGCATGGCTGAGCCATCGGTGCATGTCAGAGCTCCGGTTCGCCTTGTCCTGTCCTGATGTGTATTTGGGCCACGTGGAGAATCTCAGCTGAGAGGAGATGTATTTGTTCCCCCTCTGACTCTGGTTTCTGTTTGTTTTCAGTTCCCCTCCATGCTTTTTCCCCCCTCTGTCGGGTCTGTGTACAGAAGGGCGGCGCTCTCCGTGCCAGGTCCTGGCGCGGCGCTGCAGCCCGCGCTGTGCCTTGCTGTGTCCACATGGCTGTGCCATTTGTGTCCCGTCCTGTGTGGTGCCATCGAGCCCGGCCAGCTTCACACCAACACCCCGAGCTGCTCCCCTCCCCAGCCGCCCTCCCCTCCGCACAGCTCTGGCTCCGTGTTCCATCTCCTTGGTGTCCCCCCACGCCATCCTGGTGCTGTCGTCTCTCCGGACCGTAATCCATGAGTTCTTCTCCTGGAGGTGGACGGGAGCTTCATGCTGCCATTGCCTGCGCCTCGAGGGGCTGTGAGACATGCTGGGGCCGTGTTCTTTTCTCCCTAAGGTGGGACGACCGTCCGCAAGGAGATCATCAGGAACAAGATCCGAGCCATTGGGAAGATGGCGCGCGTCTTCTCCGTCCTTCGGTAAGGACGCAGCCCGGCGCTGTCTGACTGCTGCTCGGGAGCTGGGCAGAGGCTCAGCGCTGCTCCCTGCTGTGGGTGGGCTGCCCTTGCACGTTGGGGTGCGTTTTGGGGGGTGGGGGCGTGCTGGGAGCCCGGACTCCATCCGTCCCCACTGATACCCTGCGTGTGTCACCTGCTGACCTGCACCGCCTTCCTTTGCAGAGAGGAGAGTGAGAGCGTGCTGACGTTGAAGGGCCTGACCCCCACGGGCACGCTGCCCCTGGGTGTGCTGTCCGGGGGCAGGCAGACCCTGCAGACCGGTGAGTCCCATGCTGTGCCCTGATGGCAGCTCTGGCTCTGCCCCGCGCATCGGGGCAGAGGGGGGTCGGGGGGTGGCTCAGCCCTGGGGAGGGGGGGGGATTTGCAGTGCTGGCGGGGGTGTGGGGGCTCCTGGGAGCTGCAGGCAGCGATGAGCTCGCAGCCCGGGCCGCGTGCTGTTCTGTGTCTCTGTGCCCATCTCCTCCGTTCGTTCCCCTGCGCTGTGAGCGCTGTGCCCAGCTCTGTGCTGCAGCCATTGAAGCGCTCCCCCTGCCCGCCTGTGCCCTCTGCCCACCCACCTTCAGGAGATGCAGCACAGGAGGGGCCACCGCTCCAGACCTGGGCGCACTCAGACCCCGCTGGGCTCAGACCTGCCGTGGGGGGGCTTCCCTTTGCAGACGCCGCTCCCACCCCGCAGCCCCCAGACCCGCACTGAGCCGCCGAACGCGGAGCTGCGATGCTCCACCGCTGCGCTGCTCCTCTGCATCGCATCCAAAGCAAGAAGTGCCACGTCTGGGGATGGGGTCAGGAAGGGCTGAGGCAGCGCCCTGCTGGAGCTCAGCTGTGCCACCCTGCGTGGCTGAGCTCCATGGCTGGAGCTGGGTCCATCGGAAGCTCCAGCCCCGTCCTTTGGGGTTGGGATTCAGTTCTCTGCGCCCTCCTGTCTTCTGGGGTCTGGGGGGGGTCCCGCTCTGCTCTGTCCCCTCCTCTCTGTGGGCTCGGCGCTGATGTTGGATCACTCACTGCTGCTCTTATTGTTTTTCTGTCTCCATTTCTGCATGCCACTCTTCTTCTGTATTGCAGCCACAGTAGAAGCGGTAGAGGCACGGGAAGGTATGGCCCGAGAGACCCAAACTGTGTGTGTGTGTGCATCCTAGAGAGCTTCCCAGCCTCCCTTGGCTCTGGCTTCACCAGGAGGTGACAAATCCCCAGGATTTGGCTCTGTAATGCACTCTGAGCCTCACAGCTCAGCGCTGCCAACCCCAAATCCACCGCAGAGCCCTGCAGCACACCCAGCCCAAAGGCCGTGGGGCAGAGCGGGCTGGGTGATGCTCACAGCATCTCTGCTCCCCGCAGGAGGGCTGGGTGCTCCCAGCTTTGAGGAGCTCTGTTCTCCCCTTAGAAATAACGTCCTGATCTCGGAGAGCAGCTCTCTGCACAGAGAGGACCTTCCCATCCAGGCTGCTGGAAGCTGGTTTGCAAACCAGCCCAATCCTTGCTGTGATGTTTGGCACAGCACCTCTTTTTCCCCCATTCGTGCCCAGGGGAAGCATTTGCTCCATGAGGGTTTGCTGCCAGGCGGGGTTTTCCCATGAGCTGCACCTCCTGGTGGTGCCAGAAGTGCTGTGTGTGTTTGCTGGGTTTGCTGCTGTGTGCCACGCTGGGCTCTGAGCACTGTGGCTGCGTTGCTTTGCTGCCGTGGGGTTTCGTTGGCACCAAAAGCTGTGTCCTGGGCAGGGGATGGTGAGCAGTTATGTGGGCTGCACAGATCCCCCCCTTGTGCCCCCAAACCTTTGGGTTCCTCCACCCCAAGCATACGGCACAGCAGAGCCCTTCCCTGCCTGCATCCCCACAGCCCCACGCGTTCAGCGTCTCCACCAGTGGCAGACGGTGGCGCTGTGCATCCCCAGCGGTCTGGGTGGCACCAGGCTGAGCGGTGCAGTCTGTGCATCGCAGGGGAGAGAAGCCATCCAGAGGGACCTGGGCAGGCTGGAGGAGTGGGGCCACAAAAACCTAACGAGGCTCAGTAAGGCCAAGTGCAGGGTGCTGCTTTGGGTTGGGCAGTGCCAGGTATGGATACTGGGGGAAGATCTGGAGAGCAGCCCTGCAGAGAAGGACTTGGGGGTCCTGGAAGATGAGAAGCTGGACGTGAGCAGAGGGCTGGAGCAGCTCTGCTATGAGAAAGGCTGGGGGAACTGGGCTTGTTTAGCTTGGAGAAGGGAAGGCTGTGGGGAGACCTCAGTGTGGCCTTCAGTACTTGAAGGGAGCGGATAAACAGGAGGGGGAGTGGGTGGATGGTGATAGGACAAGGGGAATGGTTTTAAACT